TTCTCACTGTCCTTGTGTGTTTGTGCCTTTTTCATTCTTTCATTATTTTGGGGGTGGGGGGTGGGGAGAGGGGAGGGTTTAGGAGATACATGCGTATGCTTCATCGGAAGTCCACATCAAAAGCCCTCATTGAAAATGCTTTCGTTTCATTATTCAAAGACAGCATAAAATCACTCTGTCAGACAAATGTTACCCCCTGGCCAATTTGGTTAAAATAATCTTTGCTCCCCTACTGAGCAAGCAACACACACCACCCACTTCTGGCTGCTTGGAGGTTCTCAATGCCAAGGGCAATGGCCCTCCGTGGGTCCTCCAGAGTCTCTAATGATGGAGGCTCCCAAACAGCACCACTATATTAAAAACCCACAGTGTTCTTTATCATCAGGAGATAACTGCTCAGCGGCATGAATCATCCCCTGGTTGACTTTCTTACCCCATGGAAACTCATGTTTATCTACTCATTTGGTCTGAGAGATTAGAGGAGAATCAGCTCTACTGGGAGTAAACTTCCTCTGTGAGTCCAACCCTGTCATTGTCCTGGCTGTGTCTTCTGGCCTGAGGTCTTGTCATTGCCCCATGGAAAGTCACACACACACAAGTGGTAATGGATTCAGGTGTGTGTATTGTCCTCAATCATTTTCATGAGGTAATGGGGTATCAACATAGAAGCAAGTAATTAATTCACTAGGACTTATCTACATGGACATGAATTATATTTTANAACATAGAAGCAAGTAATTAATTCACTAGGACTTATCTACATGGACATGAATTATATTTTATAGTGACATACAATTCCTTTAGGATTTAAAGTTATTTTCCAAGAAACCATTCTCCTGATTTTACAAAGGACAAAATGAGGTTCACAGAACTTACTGTATTCAGAGTAGACCAGTAATTGTGTAAAGTCCGAAGTCAATAAGAATGGATATTTATAGGAGAACTCAACCCTTCCTTTCAGATATCTTTCAATTCCAAGCAACATGATCACTTCCCTGTTTGGCTTCTTCCTAAATTTTCTAGCTTGAAGCAAAAGATCTTGGAAATGTGGCAAATTTAAGGTATAATATTTCTTCTCACTACCCAATGGGTGTCCAGCCCAATTTTTAGCTTAGTCTTTTACTCTTGCCTTTTAAAATGTCAGGTCAAAACTCCCAAATATCTTTTGAGGCACACAACATGAAGCACATAGACAAGCGACAAAAGAAACACGCTGGACTTACCTGTTGAAATAACAAGTAACCACTGCCCCAGCTATCGCCATCTGCTGGCAGGCAAGGATGAATTCACTAGTCCAGATGAGGCCAATTAAATGGTACCACCACATATACCGAATGCCGGAAAGAGGCTGATATTCCACGTGGCCGCCCTTGATAGCCCGGGCAGATCCTAAAGTTTAAAACACAACCGTGCTTTACACCCGGGTCTTCCTAAGCATGGAAGACAGTTCAACAGACCATGTTTCTTCATGCTTGGCCTTTAGCATAACACGAAACACAGATGCAAAGTAAAGTTGGAAGCACCAACGAAATTTAAAATCTCCATAGCAAAAACTGAAAATTAAGAACACACATTTAAATGATACCAACATCAATAATTACAGCGACTGATTGGCAGGCAATCTGCAAGACACCTGACATGTACTCTAATACTTATCCTGCTTTGTAGATGTGAAAACTGAGGTTTGGAAGAGTCAAGTAACCTTTGTAAAGTCTCACTGCTCATGATTATTGGAAAGAGAATATAGACCTAGACACGACGGACTCGAAAACCCATGGTTTTTCTACCATACCAATTTGTGATACAAACGTTTTTCTACCATACCAATTTGTGATACAAACTAAACTTGTTTTGTTGATGAAACCACACAAAGCTATTAGGACCATGTTGTAGAACCCTACTTCACCCAAAATTTAGACTTTATAGAAGAGACAAGGATCTTTGTTTTCTCAAAAGGATTCCATTCAGATTTCATTTCAAGAGCAAATTCTTAGAGCATATTAAAAATGTCTACTGGGGGCCGGCCCGGTGGCGCACTGGAGAGTGCGCCGCTTGGGAGCACGGCAGCGCTCCCGCC